TCTGGGATTTTCACGCAATTTTCAGCGGTCGTAGAGTCAACTGTCTTTTAAACACTCGGAAAGCTTCAAGGTGCTACTTGCCCCAGTTGGGGAGTAATGGATTTTTAAAGCAGAGGGCGCCCCTGGCTGACAACACCCAGTTCGAGCCCTAAGTTCAGTCGGCTGGCAAAAATCAGGATTTTCTGGGATTTTGACGCAATTTTCAGCGTTGGTAGAGTCAACTGTCTTCCATCGACTGGGAAAGTTCCAAGTAGCTACTCGCCCCAGTCGACGAGTCATGGGGTAGTAAATCAGGGGGCGCACCTGGCCCCAACCACCCAACCTCACTCGGCGGGCGCAAGCCAGAATTCCGCGGGATTTTCACGCCAATTTCCGCGCTAGTAGAGCAAACAGCCGCCGACTCAAGCGGCCACTAACTGGAAGCATGCAACACTAGCAACTCACCCAGCAGCAGGCTGTAGTCCATCAGATGCAGCTTGGTGAGGAAATCCACATCGGCAGTCAGCGTCTCCATCAGCTTGGCCTTGGCCTCCTCCCCGATGTACACCTGCAACACCCCCACACGCTCACTCCAAACCCGCCTCAATCTCAATCATCTACCTTCATCTGCTCGTTGACAAAATCGTTGTCCTTCAGCGTGGGCAGTTCCTTCTCGCGCTCCTTCTCCGACGCCTCCCGATCCACCGTGGAACCTGCCAACAGACCAATTCGGTCAGTCACCGCCCTCAAAAACCTCGCACTCTCCCACCTTTGAGGTCGAACTTCCGATGAGTGCTCAAGTGGTTGGAGAAAACGTTGCGCATCACCACAATATAGTGCTCCGCACTGTCCACCGTCAGCCTGTACATGCCCAGATATTGGGGCAGCAGCGTCTTGCCATGTCGCTCCACGATGTACTGGGGAAACAACGGTCAAATCGGGGCTATTTGAGGCCTCAAAGGCCACTTACTGGGTGATAGTGCTTGAGGAAGGAGTGCATTCGCTCCACCTCCTCACTCGTCATGGTCTTGATGATGAAAATCTTGTCGTAGCTCTGGTAGAGTTTGGCCCCACTTTTCCCCGTCGAGTCGTCGGGCAGCGGCTGCGACCTGGCCACCAAAAAGTGGGGTCTAGATTGATAAAAATCACTGAAGCTTTTACCTGGTGAGCGACTCTTTGTAGTCGAGATCGTCGATCCCAAACCGCTCCCGGATGTTCCGGAACACCATCGGGCAGTACTCCTTCACCTTGAAGTGCGACGGGAGATTCTCCCTGAAACCCACCCACAGTCAGCGCTGGCGCTCGGGGGGCGCAGCCCCTTTTGCTTACTTGTTGAACAGATGATTGTCGATTTTGATCTTGGAGTAGGCCCGAAAATCGTCCGGCAGCAGCATCACTGGTATGGTCACGTGCATCAGCTCGTTGATCTGCACAAAACTGGGGGCTCAGCCCTGCGCCTGCCACCCGCAGCCCGCCTACTCACCGTGTGATTGATGCCCCACATAAACACGCTCAGAAACGTCTCGTTCGCCCTGAACAGCTTCACCTTCTGATGCTTGACCCGAAAGTGCTTCTTCTTCAGCTTCGACTGCCCGCTGGAGCTCATGCTGGTGCGACTGTTTCGGGGGGCGCTTTCCAGGCTAAACCATCATCCACTCAGCCCGGAAAACCCGTTTGTTTATCTGCGACGGAGTCAGACGAAGTTTTCACTCGATCCACCACAACCACACCGTTGTTGATTGGAAGCCCCCAAAAAACGCCGAAAGGGGAACGTTTACGCCGTTGGCACCGTCCACACAGCGCCCTTTAAGCCCTATTTCCAGGCCCCGAAAAAACGCCCTCAAACCCACTCACTTTGACACTGTTGGGGTGTTTGACAGCGCCAACATAACCCTCAAAGGCTCACCTTAACCTCAAATTTCTGCCTGCGTGTTTGGTCCGCGATCTTCCTCAAATTCCAGTAAAAATGGCCTTAAGCGACGGAGCCAAGGAGCGCCTTTCCCTCGTGATCGAGCTGGTCAAGACGGTCTTCCATTACGGCTACATTCCTGCTGTGGTCTACCTGGGTAAGTTGTGGGGCTTGGAGGGCCTGGAATCAGCTAAAACCGCCCCAATTTGCAGGGTTCAAGCAGGGGGCCGAGCCTGGCATGCCCGAGATCGCCCTTAGCAAGTAAGTCGAGCCCCTGGGGCCCCGCGCAATGCCCAATCTTTTTCTCTTTCTAGCTTGCTGTGGTAGGACCAGAGGAGCACCAGGAAGGGAGCAGATGCTTAAAAATAAGTCCCATTTTGCAATGTTTACTGACACAATAGAAAGATAAACCATCAAACGACTGCTTACATTCATCACATTCAGGGCCCGGATGGGGCTGCGTCCAGCCCCAGCGGGCGGTAGCTGCGGTACCGGTTGCGCAGCAACTTCACGTAGAAACACCCTCCGATGCTGACGATGATCAGAACCAGCAGCACCACAGCCCTGCAATTGAGGGGCCCCCAGTTTCCCGCTGTCCAAACAAACCTTGCCCTTACCAGTAGTACCAAACTTGCACGGTTTCCTTGCAGCACTTGTTCTCGCCGCAGCAGTACTCGCTGTTCTCATCGCAGGTCCCAAACTCGCAATAGTCGGCGCAGCCCTAGAGCAACCCACGTGAGCAAGCAGCCCCGAGGGGGTCCCTGGGGACTCACCTTGGCGATTATCAGCAGGAGCACGCCGGCGGCCTGCCGCAGGGCAGGCATTTGCTGCAACGGGGCCCCGGGGGGCTCTGGACCTACTCAACCTGGTTCACTGACAACTAGAGGCCAGCGGAAGCACATAACCTGCAAACCCACAGGCTGTTGCCAGCTGGGCAGGTTTGGTTGGCAACGCGCAGCGTCCTAACCAAACATTTCCCCGTCAGAATGCAATCGCTCCGAGTGGTTTTCCGGCTGTTGGGGGCGCAGCCCCTTGCAGGCGCCCAGTGCCGAGCGGTGAAGCGCTGGGTGAGCCCCACCATGAGGGTGATAGTGCTCAGGAAGAAGGCGCTGGGGCCCCAGCCGGAGCAGCGGCGCTCCCAGTTCCTGGAGTGGAACGAGGAGGTGGAGCTGCGCTGCTTCTCCAAGCGGCTGGGCGAGGAGTTCGAGGGCAAAGCCCTGCGCGAAGCGTTCGTGCAGCCGGAGTGGGCCAACGTCCAGGAGTTCCAGGCCAGGCAGGCTGGTGAGTACCCACGAAACCCGCCCTTGGGGCCTAAAAGCCCCCATTTGCAGGCGACACTGCCTTTGAGCCCATTGCGCACAACCGGGAGCTGGCGGAAAACGGGGCCCAAATCATCTCCCAGACCATTCGGGGGGCGTACGCCCCCTCCTACCCATCTGACGTGGTGGAGGGCATCCACAGCCACTTGACTTCGCAGGAAATGCTGGCGCATGTGGGCAAGCACCTGGGCATCAAGGACCTGATCAAATCCCTGGTGAGTGGTGCAACTCCCCCGGTTGGGGCCCCTGTTGACTGCTGGTCCTTGCAGGAGTACCCCCCAGAGGAGCGAAGCCTAGCGGACACCTTCAGGGCCTTAGTGGGGGCCCTGGCGCTTTCCAGCCCCGCAGGGCGCGTGCAGAGATTCGTGGACGACTTCCTGCTGTGCCAGATGGTGGGCAAGGACGTGTACGACATCTGGGCGCCAGCGCAGCCCTACGAGTACATGCTGCGGCTGCTGCAGGCCAAGGGCGTGGAGCAGGTGGAGCCCCGCCTGTGCAACCAGAGCGCCAGCAACACGATTCTGGCCAACTTCCAAGTGGGGCTCTACGACGCCAAGAGCAAAACCTGCCTGGGCCTGGGTAAGTACCAGGACTCCCCAGGCTAAGGGGGGCACTGATTAAGCCCTGTTGTTTAGGCTGGGGCGAAAACATCAAAACTGCCAAGGAAACGGCCGCTTTGGACGCCATCCAGCGCCTCCATGCCAGTGATTAAAGCCCCATTTAGTTAAATGCCTTAGTTTAATTGCAATAGAGCCCCCTTTTCCTTACAAAATCAAGCAAATCACTTCTTTTTCTTGCTCTTGGTGGTGGAGGCGGCGTCGCCCTCGCGGGCCGGCTGCCAGTTGAGGGGCTTGCGCCGATACATCGGCCATGGGGGGATCGTTAGCTGCAAAAACCCACTTTACTCCCGGCGCTCTCTCAACTCACTCTCACTTACAATGCTGGCGAGAAAGAAGCCCGACGCCAGAATGTACACGGTCTGGGAGAACTGCTGGATGGCGTAGCCCCAAATCAGCCCCACGATCCCGAACAGGGTGATGATGATCCGGGAGAACTTTTCGGCGGCATGTTGCCCCTCGAAGTCCTACAGTGTCCACGTTAATTAACCCCCCCAAATTCGCCCAAACTACTTGCCATGTGCACGGGGATGCTCTTGAAGTAATCCATGGCGTCAGCAGCCAAAATAGGGGCGAAATTCCTTAAAAACACCAAAAACACAGTTTGTCTACGTATGTTTTTGTTGGACTGTCAACACGACACCCGCGCAACCTAACCTCAATCGAATTTGACTGCTGCCTGCCTAGAGGGCGCGCAGCCGGAAACGACGCCATGTTGAGTGACTGTCTTCTTGACGCCTGGTGACGGGGCTTCGGGCCGGTTTTTGCCCCCAAAAGGCGCAAAAGTTCGCGATTTTCCCCCCGAAAAGTGTTGCAAAGTGTTACCCCGACCCTCTTCAACAGTGGGGCAGGTTGCAACCACTTACCCGTCAGGGAGGGCAAGTGGGGGGCTCTTGGAGGGTCCCTGACCCTCCAGGGCCTGCTCAGGCCCCCTGGGGCAACGTTATTGCTTCAAACACCTTCGACAAAAGCTGCGAATCAACTGCGACCGAGTCTTCCGTTTCCTCTTGACGCCTGGTGAAGGGGCCCCCGCCGGAATGTTCCTGGAAAAAGCCCCAAAATGGGGGGCTTTGCCCGGTATGGTGCTGCCCAGCAGTTGAAGGTGAGTCCCAACTGCTTACCACTTGTTTGCTGCTTTTCGCAACCCTCCGACTAGCCTGCACATGTTCTGCGCCTAAACCGCTATTTTGTGACAAATGCGCCCTGTTAATGTCGCAAGCCGGGTATTTAATCCACGTCCCTGCGAATTTCGCCAGAAAAGTTGAGTTTTGCAAGGGCTTTTTGCACCGAAGCTGCCCTGAAAGCGCTCACATTCTTCGGGTTAAAACCGGCCCTGATGAGGGCCGATTTGGAAGCTTTAAAGTACCGAAGCACGCGCCCATTTTCTGCTTTTAGACGCAGGTTTTCTGTGCYAGAAGTTCCTGAAAACCCCCCAAACTAGMGCYGAATTTGCCCTGCAGGGGGTGGTTCTTGGGAATCCTCCCCACACTTTTTGCCCCAAATTKGGCC